GACTCTAACCCTGCCAATCCAGTGAGCAGCCCGGCCTACGGCCCCAGGGCAAGGGTTCCTCTGGGTTGTGGCTCGAGAAGGAGGCCTGCTACAGGGAAACTTTCTCTCCTGTCCCAGGCCACCTCACCTCTTCTGACTTGAAGGCCCAAGGTCAGGGCTGAGAGTGGCTGGTGATGCGTGGGGCCCAAAGCCCTTCAGATGGTGTTTTCCGTGGCCAACCTTGAAGGCAGATTATTGTGTGAGGAAACTTGAGGAGGCTAGTGAGTTTCGGCCCCCTTCTCTCCTGGCTCCAGCCACAATGTATTCCTTTCTGTATTCTTAAATGTGGTACTAATCCTGATTTCAAATCTGGGGTCACAAGCGTAACTAAAGCTGGTTCCAGTTGGCACAAGTTCAAAGGCATCTTTCTCTCTCTCTGCACGCACACACACACACACACACACACACACACTCAGTAGCTAGCCCACCCATGGAACAATACTGCTAACGTTTAGCACAAGGTCTGTGGAAACCAAACAAGATGTCCACCCAAGAGGGGCAAGACCTACCTCAGAGGCTGAGAACTGAAAGCCCATGAGGTAGACATGACCGGTGACCAGTGGCCAGATTGTGTTTGATCTGTGGCTCTCTGGTTCCACAGCACATCCTCTCCATACCCCCACGCCTCCTGCAGTACTATTTTAGGGACACCAGCGGGGGTTGAAGCCGGCCCCTCCTCCATTCAATGGCTGCCTCACCTCAGAAATTGTTTCTCAACGGTAAAATGAGGGTAAGGAGAGCCGTGGCATCACAGGACTGCTGTGGAAATCAGAGGAACTAAATAATTTGTATAATGCGGCAAAACCGTGCCTGGCACAAAGTAGATGTTCAATAAATGTTAGGTTCACCAGGCCTCTGGGGCATCCGTCAAGGAGGGCTCTGGCTTGTGGAACCCCAGCAAGGACGGGCCTTGTGCAGACCCTGGTGGCTGGGAGTGAGAGAAGGAGGATTTGGTGGCCTAGGGGCTTTCTCTGGAATCATGGTTTATAGAGAGATTACCAGAGCTGAAAATTTCATCCCCCTTCTCCTGCCTCCCCTCCCTGACGAGGGGGAGATTACCAGGGAGGTCAGGCACAGAAGCTGTGCCACGCCTACTGTCCCACTTGCCTGGAAGCTACCGGAGAGCTTCTCCTCCAGGAATCCCCCTTGCTTCTCATTGGCACATTGTAGATGCTCAACCCTGAGCCTGCCTAGCTCACATGTGCTTTCTAGAGGCCTCTGCCAGACCAGGTCGCAGGTGGTATAACAGGTCAGGCTACAGCAGGTGGAGGCGTCCAGGACCCCTGGGCAGAACAAGAAGGTCTTGCTGTGGGTCGTGTTTCCACACTTGGGGTGGAGCCCAGAGGAACAGTTTATGGTTAGGCCAGTGGGTCAGAGCCTGGAGAGGCCGCTGACCCGAGGACCCGGGCATCGGGGATGTTGAGAGTGGCACAGTCCGGAACCTGGGTGGTGGCCCTTGTAAGCTGAGATCCCAGGAAACTCTCACCCCAGGGAAGAGGCTGTTGCTCAGAGCCACGCATGCGAGGGCCCGGATTCGCTCCCAGGTGCTTACAGCCTCCCAGGTGGAAGGTGGGATCTCTGCCAGCCTGCTCTTCAGTTTTGTTTTTTAAATTCCCCGTGGCGTCTAGCGTCATGCCAGGCACACACGAAGTTTTTAAGAAATGTGTATGGAAAGGCAGCCGGAGTCACGTTGGGGCAGCTTCTGCCTTCTAGAGCGAGGCCTCCAGGCCTCCTAAGAATTTTTACAATTCTCCTTTTGCAAACAGGAGCAGGAGGTGACTGACCAAAGGCAAGCCAGATCGCACGGATGATCTCTGGTACCGACGGGCAAGAATTACCCGCTGGGAGACAGACCTTCCCATGAAGCTGCTGCTTCTTGTACCTGCTGGCTGAGGTGAACCCCAGACCCCGCACAGCCATCACCTAGGAGGCACTGAAGCAACCCATACCATCTTGAGATGGAAGGAGAAATTACACTTTTAGGAAGTGGTTTACCAGTTCATTTAGTTTCTTCCTCAGAATTCCATGCAACCCTAGAGTCTCCTGACCGGGGCATGCCAAGATCTCTTCATGATGCCCTTTGCACGACCTCCTGCCCCTCTCCCCAGCCTTCTTCCCCTGCTTCTCCTGTCTTCTCGTGAGTGGACACGGAGCCTGTGCAGATGCAGAGAGAACCACAAAAGCCATTCTAGGCCTTTCTTCATCTTCTTCCCCTGATCCCCAGGCCATATTGAATTGAGAAAGCCTGTGAGACAAAACGTAGGCCCGAGGTATAGGAGTCACATAACAGTGTGACAGGGGTTAGAAGCTCTTCCTGCAGAAGCACTCGTGTCTGTTAGCATGTGTTTAATGAGCAGCTACCATGTGCCAGGCCCTGCGCCCTAGGAACATAATCACCAGAGGCTGGCACCGAAGGGGGATGGGGGAGAGCCAAACCGTACCAGGGTCAGAAATGTTTCCACATAAACTAATACACTTCGATTTTATCTCCTCTGGGAAGTCTGTCACCCGGAGCTGGGCTGAATGGTCCTCCTTTGGTCCCGGAGTCCCTGTTGTGACACCTCTCACGGCATCTATTACACTGTATTCTAATTGCCTCTTTATCCATCCGTCACGATAGACCATGAGCTCCTGATTCACTACTGGCAGGAAACCTGCAGTTTCTTTGTAGGAGAGGCTAATGGATAATCCTCTGGAGCCACAGGAAGAGCACTTAGCTCTTGGGAGAGAGCTCAGTTTTCTCATCTGTAAAATGGGCCTAACAGTGGAGCCGTCCTGAGCACTGAGTGAGAGGAAGTCAGCCGAGTCCTTCCCGCAATGCCCACCATGCCACAGACCGTGCTGCAGGGATGGTGTGGTTGTAAGCTCCGGCTTCCTCTTCAGTCACACCAAGAAGAGTTTATAGTTTATCCAAATATTTTCTTTCTCAAGCTCCAAATAACTCCATCTCTAGGACAACAAGGAGCAGGATTTGCAATCCCTCACTGAAGCACAACATCAAAGGCCACAAATTAAGAGGCTCGGGATGGGAAAGTATGCTTACTTAAGATGCTTGTTGCCATCAAGGAAGGATGATGATTAAAAATGCGGGAAGAGGAAAAAGAGTTTGGCAGTTCCTCAGAATGTTAAACATAAAATAACCATAGGATCCAATTCCACTCCCGGGTAGGTTACCCAGAACAACCGAAAACAGGTGCTCAAACAAATCCTCGTCCGGGGTTGCTCACAACGGCCAAGAAACAGAAACAACCTGAATGTGTCTCAACAGGTGACTAGACAAACTGATGGTTACACACGAAAGAATATTATTCATCCACGAAAAAGCACGGAACACCAACACAGGCTACAGCGTGGCTGAATCTGGAAAACATGCTAAGTGAAAGAAGCCAGACGTAAAGGCCACATACCGTACGATTTCACTTACATGAAATATCTAGAATAGATAACTGTAGAGAGATGGGATTCAGATCCATGGTTGCCAGGGGCTGGAAAGAGGGAGCATGGGGAGTACCTGTTGAATGGGGACAGGGGTTTATTTTGGAGTGATGGGAATGTTCTGGAACTAGACAGAGGTGGTGGTTACACAACATCACGAGTGTACTAAGTGCCATTGAACTGTTCACTTTAAAATGGTTAAGTTTGGGGCGCCTGGGTGGCTCAGTAGGTTAAGCGTGTGATTCTTGATTTCGGCTCTGGTCATTATCTCAGGGTCTTGAGATGGACCCCAGCGTCGGGCTCCACGCTCAGTGTGGGATCTGCTTAAGATTCTCCCTTTCTCTCTGCCCCTGCCCTCATGTGCATGCTCTCTTGCTCTCAAGAGAAAAAAAAAGAAAGAAGAGAAAGTTAAGTTTATGTAATGTGAACTTCACCTTCCAAAAAAAATTGTGGGAAGAGATCATGTAAAATTTCTTGAAAGCTAATAGACGGTAAATGGGAAAAAATGGTGGTGTTCTTTTTAGTAATTAAGAAGTATAAAAGAGCATGGATTCTTTCTAGTGTGTATTTATTCATTCACTGCAATACCAAATGTTGAATGACCACATATCTCAATGATTTCAGTATTTGTTATTGAAGCAATCATATTTTTTAAGCCACTGCAAATTTATTCCTGGAAAATGTCCATCAGGGACATCAGACCTCCTTCCCCATGCAGCACATGCTCTGTGACTGTGTCCTTTTCCCTCATCCCAGACAGAGTGGGGAGGGATGCAGTGTTTCCATCTGGAAGTGAGATAGTCTTTCCGTGGCCAGCTGTGAAAATCTGTGCAAACCCAGTAAAAAGCAGCTCTTCCTCAGAGATGTCAATAATATTCCCGTTCTAATCTACCAAGAGCACGATAGTTGGAGATCACCAAGTATCCTGAGGCACTCGGCACATTGTGGCCTCTTTTTTGAACCAGAGAAGGTGTTGGGCCAAATAGCCCCACAGGACGGGAACCGAGTTTCTCCTTCAGAAACCAGGAGAGCTCGGAGCAGGTCATGTCTGGATGGTGTGGGGTGCAAATGGGCTGCCCTTTCCCAGAGGCCGTTTCGTGATGGGATAGTGTGGGTCATCCTGGCAATGAGGCTGGAGCTTTTACTGTAGAGCTCTGCTGTGCAGTGCTGGTCATCACTGCTGAGCAGATGGCAGGCCTTGGGCGGGAGGGAAGGTTTGAGGTCACGAGTGGAAGGCAGAGAGAGAGGGGGGAGGGTGTAAACCTCAGTCATTTACAAGAAATGGGCTTGACAGATGGGGTAAGTCTGCATGGCTGGCCTTCAAAGTGGTGGGTTTCCTTTCAGCTTTGCCACTTTTCTGTCCCATAACGTTGAATAAACAATTCTGACGTGCTCATAAAGCAACCTGGTGGGGGAAGGGGGGCGGGGGGGCTGTCAGATTGCATGCCTCAAATTCTTAGCTCCACTGTTCAACGAACGACTCTCGAAAGCCTGGCATGCACACAAAAAGTGTGCGGGAACCAACAAATGGTTCCCTGTACATTTGTTCTCTCCCAGTCCCATGTCACCGGGAAGGGGACTTTGCCCACTGTGAGTGCCTGGGGGATTTTAGGCCACTGTGCGTGGGTGGCCCGATGGAGCCTCTAGGCTATGGCCAGGGCTTTTTGAGCAGAAGGGCTTCTGAAAGCCCATACTTTGTCCCCCTGGTGGAGCTACAGAAGGTGCCAGAATTAGGAAACCAGGACCAGAAGAATAGAGACTCAGGGCCTCACTTGGGTCGGGGAGAGAAAAGCAAGCTCCTGACTTGTACTAAACCATTCTCTTCTCTGTTTACGACAGCCAGAGTCACATGTCGTGCGGGTTAAGACACAGCATGCCCACTGTGTGTCTCCTGTGCCCATAACACGACAGCTAATGGAACTTCGCAGTTTCCACGGCTTCTTCCACTGACTTTAACCCCCAGCCTCTGCACCGACCTCAAAACCCGTGTCCTGTGTTCTCAGGACAATTTGAAGACTGAAAGTATTATAACACGCAACCATCCTTATTGCTGTTACATTTTTCCCCTCTCTCCTGCCAATTTTCTTTTAGGACTTGCTTGGAAAACTAAAGAAGCTCCTGATGGGCTTTTCTTAAGCCTAACCAGCTTTGAAATCAGGAGTGTGTTTGAGGCGAATAAAAGTCAACTGAAAAACATCCTAGGAGGAAGACACTGTAGACAGTTAAGAGCAAAGGCAAGCCTGCGATGGCTTAGAAACAATCTACCATTTGACCAAGAAATACAGCAATGATTAGGGTTTCTTTCATTTCTTAGCAACAAGCTCCATGAGGCAGCTTGCTTACGATTGTTGGGGTAAGTCTCTTGCCAGGGGCCAGGATTTGGTTTGGACACTGCCGTGGCCCCTTGGGAGTTGCCCCAAGAAAGAAATGTTGTGTTTGTGTGAGGTTCGTTTTGGAACTCAGCTACGTTGAGGTCCGCTCACGTTCCCAGGTGGTGTTCTGCTCAGATGGCTCAGGCCAATGCGGGTGGAAAAGTCAGAAACCTGAGCTGGTCTGTGGCCCTGGGGATCGCCCTTCAAAGAACTGGCTGTTGATTTTCCTCTTGCTGCCTGGAGAGGGGAAAAAAGTCTATCTGCCACTGTTTTCTCTCTCTTACAGTGCCTGGGATGAGTCCCTTGAACTCCCGTGATTCACCTGGAGCCTTTCTCATGGAATGCGGACATGTGAATCAGGATTTGATATTTAATGATGACCTGTCCACTCGTCTCAAAACCATCTTCCTGACAAGTTTAATAAAACATTAAAGGGGTTTCGGTTAATTTAGGCACCCAGTGCTATCTCCCTTTTAGAGGGGCATTTGGGCATTTTTATTTTTTTAAGATTTTATCTATTGATTTGAGAGAGAGAAGGAAGGGGGCAGAGGAGGAGGGAGAAGGAAAGGGAGAGAATCTCTAGCAGATGCCATGCTGAGCCTGGCTTGATCGCATGACCCTGAGACTGTGACCTGAAATGAAACCAAGAGTCAGACGTTTAACCTACTGAGCCACCCGGGTGCCCCAGTATTTGGAAATTTTGCGAAGTTTAAGGACAGAAGTTAAGGAAACAGAAGGGATCTGTGTGGCATGGAGACTGCCTTAAAGAGATCTGCCCCTTTCTCTGCAAGATCCGCTCCTGGTTTTCCATGGAGGCCACTGGGTGGGGAAAGCTCAGCCCTCAAGTGGAGTTTTTTCATGTTGCATCTCTGCCAGCTGTCTGAGTGCCTGTGTGTGTCCTCTTGAATGAGGTACACAAGGTCCAGGTGATAGAAACCCTAGAGAGTGTCTGCTATTCCTGAGCGGAGAGAGACAGAGCTTGGGTTGTGGTCCCTCCCCCGCCCCCCTTCACCAGCTGCGGAGCCAGGGACACACTTCAGCTCTCAAACCTGAGTCTGCTCATCTGTGAAGTGAGGGGCGGGGCTGGCTCATTTCTAAGTGTTTTTCCACTTGAAGTCTTTGAGCCTGTGGTTATTTCCTTTTGCTCATCAGCAGCCAGCCCTCATCAGAAGTCGGCTATATCGAAAGTTTGGGTGTCGGCGTCAAATTTGAGCTTCAAAGGGGTTGGACTAGGTCAGGCTTCCTTGGTTGGGACAGAAAAGGACCACAGCTCCACTCAAGTCATCAGCTGACGCTCAGATTCAAGGCCAGTGCTGGTTTACCCGGCACCTTGCTGATGATTAGGAAAACAGCACCCCCTCTGAGAGATCACTCAGTGCGACTGCAGTTGGGTCCCCGCGCTGACAGGTGCAATCCTGGCTCCCAGGAGTCCTTGTGCTGTGCTAGAGCTGCACAAACAGAGCAGTTACGTCCTTGGGCTCTGACTACTGAAGATCAGGAATAAAAGAAGTGGCCAGAAGAGATGCATGCCATCGATAAGACAGAAGGAGACTTTTACGATATAGTTAAAAAGCTGCACGTCTGGGCCTATGATACTCCCCAGATCCTACATGTACACAGTCCGTCTAGCTGGCAGCTTCAAGAGGAAAGATTAGTAATAATAACAAAACAACTTACATTTTTATAGAAACTTGCAGATTATGGGGCACATTACATGTATCTTTCTTTTTCAGTTTGGTTCTGATTCTAACTATTGCCCTGGAAAGTAACAATTACCGCCATTTTTAAAAAAGGATTTTTATTTACTTATTTGAGAGAAAGAGATCTAGAGAGAGCATGAGCAGGGGGTGGGGAAGAGGGAGAAGCAGGCTCTCCACTGAGCAGGGAGCCCAATGCTTGACTCCTGGGATTATGACCTGAGCCCAAGGCAGATGCTTAGCCGACTGAGCCACTCAGGCGCCCCCAATGTAACCCACGCGTGTCTAGTTCCAAGTTTGAGGGTTTTTTCCCCTTCCACACTGGGTCACATGATTTCCTGATCTGGGCCATGGCAGCCACGCCTTAAGTACTATTCTATGAGGGTTTAGAATCTGTCTGAGAAAGTTATCCTTCTTGTTCCAGCGATGGTAGGACTCTCCTATACAGATACGATTACTAGGCTTGGGGTATGAGTTCTGGGGAGGTCTTGGCGACTCTTGAATTTGAACTAAAGGACGCATTTCTCATGGGGTGAAGTGATTCCTGGAGACTCACTTGTTTGGTTAAAGGCATCCGTACTGCCTATGTGCCATTAACGCAGGATACTTGCCAACATATTAGGGATCCCCCTCAAGGCATCCTGGGAAGGCCTTGGAAGTCTAGAGAGTCACCATACAGTATGAAAATAATATCTCTAGGCCAATCAGTATTGGCCAAATCCAAGCCTCTTCAGTGTTAACATGGTCTCACTGGCAACGTTATTGACAGGCTCTTTGGTCACCTTCCACACTGCTTTTATGCATATCATTTGGGGCAGTTAAATGCGAGCCCCCTCCATTCTCCCTGAACTCCAGACCTGTATCTGTAGACCACCACCTACATGTGTCTACGCCTGGGCCTCTCCTGGTCACGTCTAACCTAAATGTGTGTAAAGTGTTCATCGATGCCTTTGCCCACAATCCACTTCCCAAGGCCACTGCTCCCTTAGTTCATACGATCTGCATTCGGGACATCACAGTGGATCCCCCCCACCCTCAGCTCCACACCTTATAATCATCCTCTGTTCCACTCACTCCCCCCTAACCACATTGACTTGGTCATGAGGCGTACTTTGACTCTACTTCCTAAACACCACTAACATCTATTCCCTTTCCTTCATTCCCACTGTCATGATCTTAGTTGAGGTCCTCCTTATCTCTGCTTTCCATATCTCCAAGCCAGCTGCCATCCTGGCCCTTAGTTCTCTCTCCAAACACAAACCTGACCACACCATTTCTCTGCTTGAACACCCAAAATGATTTCCTTAGTATAGTACTATGACCACAATTTCTTGCAGTTCTCTCACCGTATCCTTGACTTTGCATATACTCTTTCCTCTGCCTGAAATGCCCTTTCCCTAATCATTTCCAACATCTCACTCATCCATCATTCTTGCAGTGTTGACTTCCAGATAATTCCTGGGGGAGTTTATCACTCGCTCCTTTGGATCATTTCAGTGTCCCATAGCTACTGAAACTATAATGTGTATTCTGTGTGTGTGTTTTTTTTTTTAAGATTTATTTATTTATTTGAGAGAGAGAGAGAGAAAATGGGGGAGGGGCAGAGGGAGAGAGAGAATCCTGAAGTGGACTCCCTGCTGAGCATGGAGCCCAATGCAGGGATTGATCCCAGGACCCTGAGATCATGACCAGAGCCAAAATCAAGAGCCAGCCACTTAACGGACTGAGCCATCCAGGCACCCCAACTATAATGTGTATTATTCTGAACTATAGTTTGTTTCTGTATCTTGTGTCATTTATCAGATTGTGGGTCCTCAAAAGCAGAAACGATCTCATTATCTTTGGAGTCCAAGGACCTGGCATGCTGCCCAGCACACAGTAGGTATAGTAACTATTGTATGAATGGATGAAGTCAGTGACTTAACTTATTGCGTATTTATTATTCTCTAGAGTTTAGTTTTCATAGAAAAGGGCAGAAGTCATTCTTTCTTTATTCTACAGGCTAAATATTGACCAAGTACAGAGGCCGGAGAAACATTTGTTTTGTCCTGTATTTCTTTCCTAGATTGTATCTTGGGTGGGAATGGGGAGCCAGAATTTCAGAGGAAATGAAGGATTCAATCAGATTTCCCTGCACAGCTGCCTGGCTCGCCCAGCACTGGGCAAAAGGAAGGCACATCAGAGTAGGAGGATGATGGTAAGACCCTTGCTAACTTGACAAATGACACATCAGTGGTTCTTTTCAGACCTGTTCCTTATAGTGCAAGGCTCTCCCATTATTCATCCTTACTTTCAAATGAGGGTTCCTTAAAATTAGCTTCAGATTCTTACAAACTTTAGTTGAGTGAATGGAATGCAACTGCTTTGAAGGATGGGGTTTCTGAGGAAGGAGTGATCTTCTTTCCCCCTTCCTCATTGAACAGACTCGGTGGAGAAGTCCGGCCAGGTAGCTAGCATGTGGGCTGCCCGCAGTCTCCTCTCCGTGAAATGAGGACAGTGCACCTCGGGGTTGGTTTCCCTTTCGGTCAGGCAGGACACGTGTTCCTACTAGCTAACGTATATAGCTTATTTAACTCGATTATTACACAATGTATTCTGCGAAGCTCTTAAAAATACTAGGGAAACAGGTCTTTTTGTGTCCTCAATTCTACCTTCATGGGTGATCTGGGGGGCGGGGTGCTGGGAGTGGGACCATCTAGAGATTCAAAGAAATTAGGAAGCAATCTGTGTCACAGTAAATCCCCTGGAGGCTCAGAGGCTAGCAGGCAGGTTCCCATTCCACCTTTGGCTCCAGGCCATATTTTCGTTTCAGCTGGTTTCTTAGCCGAGTTGAAAATTTGGCTTCACTTAGAATAATTTAGAAACATCTAGGACTGAGATGCTTTTTAGTGGGTCTCAGGCCTTGACTTTTTCAGTAGCAAATAGAATGTCCCGCTGTCCCAAAGCACCTACAGGCCATATTGTCAACTGGACTAAGGGAACTCCACCCCAACTCCCCGACCCACGAGCCCGGTGGACTCAGCCCAGAAGCAGATGTCAGCCTGCAGAGCACCCTCCCAAAGAAGCCAAACAAACTAGAACCAGAGTCGTGAAGGGCCATGAGGCTATTTAGAAATGATCCTTAGATCTCACTTATCTCTGGGGCTGGTCAATCCTTATAAAGAACGAAAGTGAGCTGAAAGTTCCCTTCCAAACAGAGAGCAACTTAAACCACACACACACACACACACACACACACACACACACACTCAGGCACACACACCTAAAGCTATATTAACACACATGGCTAAAAGTGTAGTCAAACACACATATGCAGGTTAAAATGTATTCACACACACAGCCTGAGATATGTTAACACACACACACACACACACACACACACACACACACACACACACACACAGTCTGGAAACTCACCTTTCAGTCCCCCCGAGGGCTTCCTGCAGGCGCCCGGGGGAAAGGGGGTCTCCGTCTCCCGCGCGCGCGCGTGGCGGGTCTGACAGCGGCGGGGTCCCGGGTGAGGTCAAGGTCCCAGTGAGGAAGGCCGCCCCCCCCGCGGAGCCAGGTGCCGAGTGGAGGGGTCAGCGGGGGCCGGGCGCCGCGCGTACCTGCCGCTCGCCTGGAGGAAGGCACCCTCTGCGTTCTCTGCCCTCCCGCGGGCCACGCCTCGCATTTTTTGAGGTTTCACTCCAACTCCGTCCTGCCCCTGATGTCAGAGACACAACTTCCTGAATCCGACTCGCCCTCTCTCCCGCCGCCTGGGCTGGGCCCCAGCTCCCCTCCCGGGCCCACAAACCGCCGGTGCCCTTGGACTCGGCGCCCCCGCCCCGCCGCGCCCTCCTCCGGGACTCCCGCCGCCCTCCGCCCCTCCGCCCCCGCCCCCGCCCAGCCACCGCGGGCTGGTGCCCCACCAGGGCCGGAACACGCCTCCTGCGGGACCCGCGCTCTCCCCGCCCGCGGCGCCCGTCCTCAGTCCATTTCACAGACGCACCAAGTTCCCAGGGGCCTGGGACAATTCCGGGGCAACTCTGCTTAGGTGAAGACAACCCAGTGTTGTCTCAGAGAGCGGCCTTCTGGGCAGGAGGAGTGGAAGGCATGTGGGAGGGAGGCCCTGAGACAGATCGGGCGCCAGCTCAGTGCCGGCTCCCAAGCCCTATCTGGAGGAACGAAAACACCCAGCTGCCTCAGTCAACCGCTGGGTGCGGTTGGGGGTGGGGGTGTGTGTGCACACAGCCCTGGTGCTGCTCCCTGAAGGCTGTAAGGATAACCCTGTGCCTGGGTGGCTCAGTGGGTTAAAGCCTCTGCCTTCAGCTCAGGTCATGATCCCGGGGTCCTGGGATCGAGCCCCGCATTGGGCTCTCTGCTCAGCAGGGAGCCTGCTTCCTCCTTTCTCTCTCTGCCTGCCTCTCTGCCTACTTGTGATCTCTGTCAAATAAGTAGATAAAAATCTTAAAAAAAATAAAATAAAGGATAACCCTGCACCACCTGAGCTGTCTGAGCAGAGACCAAGGGGGAAACTGCCTGCAGAAAGTTCTCAGAGGTTCTTCTCTGTTCTCCTCAGCTGCCCTCCATTCGCTTTTTATTGATTTCTGTGGGTCCAGTTTGGAGCATCTGGACCCTTGGCACAGAGATTGTTCAGTGTCTCCAAGGTTACTGGGGGGCAGGCTGGGGGTGGGGTGGTGCCAGGAGCTGGCCCTGGAGGGGCCTCCTCAGAGCCATCTGGGCAAGTCCTTCCATGACATAGACCTGAGGTGCTGCCCGCTTGACCGTATTTGCCAGGTGCTCAGGGACCAGGTGCCAGGTGCTGAGCGGGGTCTTGCCTTCTCTGCACGTGGGAATTAAAATGACTCTTGAGGTCAACGAGACTCCTTTTTGTTAGTGCTGGAGAAACCAAATGGCTCTGAGTTGAATGGCCAAAAAGAAAACCCAGCCCTTTGGTCAGAAATGCCAAGAATGAATAAGGAAAAATAAATTTTCTTGCAGCGGAAGGAGATGAGACGAGACTGTCTTTCCAGAAATCCAGGTGGAGTGAATCTAGATCTGAAGGAGAAGGGGGAAAGCGGATTCAAGAAGCAAGTGGGCTAACAGGTAGTCCCAGCAGACATGGGAAGATTGCGCTTGCAAGGCTGCTTGGAAGTGTCCAGACTGAGGGGCTTCCCTCCGTCGATGGGTTTACCACGCTGCCCAGTGGCTCCTTCTGTAATCATACTTTGAGCCTGCAGATGTCCACCTATGTAGGCTTGGGTCCTCTAACACTCCTGGAACTTAGAGGCAGAGTGTAGAGTCTGAGGGCGTTGAGAAACCCAGATGGGTGTGGCAGGGGGTTAGCAGTGAGGCCTTAAATGCTGGCCAAAGTGTTGGGGAATGGTTATGTCCTCCCATCTTGAGGAAGGACACAAGATACCGTGCCAGGTGCTTTACACATATCACAAAACCTTTCACAACTCATTTATGAGATGTAGTATTCTCGTTTTATGAGGAAACAAGTTCAGAGAAGTGAAGCAATTTCCTCAGAGTCATAGAACTAATAGATGGCGGAGCCCTGATTGGAGTTCCAGTGTTTCTGAACTCCCCAGCCCATCCTTTTACTACTATACCATCAAGTAGAGAAGTGGCTCGCCTTCTGGGAAGGAATTCCACACTTGAGCAAGGGTAATGTTCAGGGCTGCAATGAGTCCTACCGAGGGAAGGCTACAGAAAAGACTTTTCTGGAAATCCAGAGCAACATTACAGATTGGCTATTTAAGGTTGCCTTTGAGAGGAAACAGAGAGAAACCGAACTGGAGAAATGGAGACCGTTGGCTTGAGCTGAGAGCTTCATGGACATGGTTTTAAAGGGCAGAAAGAAAATCAGAGTCCTATCTGTAAGGTGGTATCTCTGTGAGGTCTCAGTGAAGCACAGAAAGCATACAGCTTCTGGCCCAGAGAAATCAGTGACCCACGGGCGAGCAAGATGGCAGACTGGCTCATACTTGGTTGTTAAGGCTGCAAGGTCTGCCAAGTGGCGGACCTTACTAGGAAGATGCAATTATAGTAGAAGACAAGGAGTGGGCATCTGGCCAGATGTTCTCACACTGTGCGGATGATGTATCCCTTACTAAAAAGCAGGTTAGAACACCCACCTCCTGTCTTATTCCCTTGGCAGTTAAATCCTAACTTTGATGAACTCATAAATGGCCCCGGGCAACCGCAGTGCTGTTACATTTTGCTTAATCCTCATTATTTCTCGTGTTTTCAGTAAAGATATTTGAAAGTGGTCAGGGGGTTAGTGGGCTCTAAATGGAGTGAATCAGAGCATTAACATCTAATTAAAAAAAAAAAAGAAGCCAAAATAAGCAGATATGTGAACTGAGACTGGAAATTGGTGTGATCACCCCCTACTAATTTAACACCTGGTTTCACATCAGTATGTTGGGGACAAAAAGCTTCCCTTTCAGCGTCATGAGAATCAATAGGGTATTTAGTGTCCAACCATAGCCTGCTATGAAGGTGCCGACTGTCTACACTTTTCTTTTCTTTCTTGGCCACGCCCTGTTTTAGCCAGGTGGACTGGCACTACTGGCCAGACTCAACCCGCCGTGTGTGGCCTCCATCCACATTCTCCCATCAGTTTGCAAATACCCTGAGTCTAGAAGATAATGTGTTTGTGCCCAGGACAGTGCTGCTTCCAAATGGGCATATTCTTCAGGTATGGAAAATATTACATTGAGAATCTTATCTTACTCTCCCCTAAAACTGTGGCATATTCTTACCTGTGACACTTGAGTGAGTATCTAGAAGCATAACAGGGGTCCAGAAAGTCACCAAACGGCAGCCTGGACATTCTGAGGAACCCAATGGGAGTCAGAAGGGCTTCTGACAAGGTGCAGGCTGTTTGGAGGGAATGACCCCGCCTACAAACGGTATGGAGAAGATGAGCACAGACTTGTTCACCAGATCCTGAAATACATTAGTGTCTTGGAACCACGAGAGAGGCAAGTTCAAGACAAGTCAGCGGAAATGCTATACCACGTAGCAGGTAATGAATGTATGGAATGGGTTATCTCCCAGAGATGGCACCAGCTGGCAACATCAGTGGATTCCAGAAGGGTTTGGACAGACGTGTGAATGGCAAAGCCATAAAGGAGAGCTTCAGGAAGCTAAGATCTACTCCATGGGTTGGGGAGTTCAGGGTGGCCCAGCAGGTCCTTTCACTGTGCGTATATGGGGTCTTTGTGGACAATAGTCCTGGCCTCGCTAGAGCTGGGATTTGAGCCAATCGGCAGGGCCAGTGCTCCCTGCCCAATTCCCAGTCCCAGTGGCCTTTGCCTCACGAAGGCAGCAAAACCTTGTGCTTTTTACCTTAGCCAGGGATCTTCTGCAGATACCGTGTTTTATTTTTAGTCTCGTGCGTGTTTCAGTTTTAGCAGGTTATCTAAAACCCAGCAAGTTCTCTAGCTTAATTATAGCCATTCTAAGAAAGCATTTCCTCTGCTCCAAACCAGCTTCCCTCACAGCCCTTTTAAAAGGCATTGCTTTTTCATTTTGGCTTTGGACTTCTGAAGAGATCTGGAAAGCCCGTTTTCCTACCATTTATTATATTTCCCTCTTGTGATTAGATTTCTGTTCAGACATTCCCTTCTAAACTGTTGAATTCTGACAGAAATTACTCTAATTATGAAAGCTCCTCCTAAAAGAGCAGTGACAATTACTTTTCTTGGGAACTCTATTTAATGTAACATCCAAAATACCTTCAATGCTGCATCCGGGATGCCAGGAAAAATATTACTTTTATGGCTGTAGCTCCAAATCTTGGCACTCGGGAAAGTTGCAGAAATTCTTGGATGTCTCTTTTGATAATCCACGTGTCTCCCCATGCATACACGTCCCACGGCTGCGTGCGCTTTGCGCTTTCTGTAGGGTTCCTACATGTTCCAAGGCCAGAGCACCTTGCCCTGCCGCTTCCATAACTGGGGATGATGGGGTGGGGGGCAAGGGCTGGCTTGGAAAGCCCTTTGTTTATACGTCTGGGGCGTGAAGGGGCTCAGTTTTCCTTTTCTGCTTCTTGTGTGTAGCCCCCCAGAGTTGTGTCTTGGAAGCTATGTTTACCGCACCGTGGCTGGCTGTGGTTAAACTCTCCAGCACTACTGTTCCACGCTCTTTGGTGCAATTCAGCTTTGGTTTTGTTCAAATGGAAACAACAGGCCTCTGGCAGGGGGTCTCAGGGCTGGAGGACAGCCCCCCAGAGTTCTCATTTTGCCTCTTTTGTGGTTCCCCTTGTCTTCTGCTCTTCTCTTGGGGATGGGTTTATGCATCATTTTATTGAGTGAGCCCACCATGTGTGTGGGTTTCAGGGAGCATTTACATGGATGAGAGAAAACATTTCTTGCCACTTTGTCAGTGAGATGTCTGGGAAGCCCCAGCCTGCCCTGCCTGGCACATTCATTCTGGCAGAAGTTTTTGTGAAGGCTGAAATTGTTTATTCCTCTTGCCTGTAGGGCCCGTAAAGTAACTGTGCCTTTGAAGTTTGCTTCCTTAACTAGTTCAGTGACACAGAACCTCAACGTTGCCACCAACAAACTTCCTCTCCCTAGGCTGGCTCTTTCATAATAGGTAAAAGGAAGGGCTGACAAAAACACGAAATAATGGGATAGCCTTCATTTACTAAGTTGCGGATATACACTCCCCCTCTCTAGTTTTACTACCATTGACTTATTGTTTTCTATGTGTGGAGCAGTGTAGGCACATGCCTTTACATTTCTCATAACACTGTGACATACTATCATACCGGTCTAATAGATGAGGACACAGGGATTTGGAAAATTAAAAAATTTGGAAAATTTAATTTGGAAAATTAAA